TATGTAAGCACTTCAGGTTGCATCCAGATGTGCTATACTGTCACGAAATCTTCATGGAGATAAATAAGGGGTATTTTTGTTGCATCTTGTGTGTGGGTCACAGGGAGGAATGAATGCCTGCTCAACACTGGAATAGGTAGCAGAAAGCAAGAGATTTTTCTAGTTTACAGTTGTTTGTGTTTCTCAGAGGCTTTGATCTTCACATAATGTTTGTTTGGTCCTGCAGGCACATATATGTCATATCATAATGGCTCCTATCTGTAAAGATGTGTCAGTCACTGCCTGATTTCATTCCTGATGAGTGACCACAAGAACTACTGAGGTCGATGGATTGGCAGGACACATGTGAGCAAACAGCTCAAAGATGGAGTGAGCTTCTTGTGCCCCACTTTTCAGTTCTGTTTAGGAAAAAGCACTCATGCTGACCACGTTATGACACGTGGTGGAGACACCGTGGCTTGACTCCAAACGTGATTTTCCTTGGTGTTTGTTACTAATATTGAGGGTTTTTTTCACTGCAGCTGCAGGTCCTAACCTCACTTGGACATCTCCTGGCAGATGGCCCCACAAGTCACACCACAAGGGAAGACATCTGCATGCAAGGATGCCACCTCGCACGTACAGCAAATGTGCTAGGGGTAAGCAGAGCCCTTACTTTGCAAGGATCACAGTCAGAGGTTCCTTGTAAGGGCTGAATTCACCAGCAGTTCCTGAAAAGCAAGACTTGGTTATAGACTGTGCTTTGCTGAAAATTACTTATAATTACGTTGATTCATGTTGCTACTCTCTTTGCAGCCCACGTGGTCCTGAGAGTCACCCTTCCTCCCCATAAGAGCAGGGGGGAGGCTCACCTGAATGCCCAACTGCTGGTCTGCTGTGCCCTATCCACCAGAGTCCTGAGTCCCTGAAGGAGCTGCCAGACCCACATACCTGCCTGCAAGGCTCACAGCAGCACCTTTTAAATGAGAGAAAGGGAAAGGACAGCCAACACTCCCCCACATCAGCACAGCATGTCCCAGAAACCTCCAAAGGAGTCGCTGCTAATTTTCCCTCCCACAGTCCCCCTGGATAGTGTGGGCACAAGAGTGTGGAAAAAGCTTTCAAAGCTGTGAGTTGCAATTTTCCCACAGGGGCTCACACTGGAAGGCTGGGGACAACGGAGGGAAGTGCACAAGAAGAGACCCTTGCCTACTCCTTGCAAATTGCTCTCCTCTGCAGTTAAGTATCCCTCTCACACTCCCCCAGAACAGGCAGGATATGACATTTTATTTAGTGTAAAGTCACCTGAAGGCTTGCCAGCAGTTTGCTCCTGCTCCACACGGCACATTGCTGCCTCTAGGCTGCCTGCAGGGCTGTGCTGGGAATGCAGAGGTGAGGGTTCTAAATTCTGAAAATAAACTTCCCAGGGAGAGGTGAGTGACTCTTTCCCCAAGGATTTCAGAGGTGGCCTTGCCATGCACCCTAGGAAGAGCTGCCATGGGACTGGTGAAGAGACTATACGGGGAGTGAGAAGCTGGGATTGGGACAATACCTGGGCAAAGGGAGCAGGTGAGTGGACAGTGGTGGAAGAGGGACCTCTTCTGGCAGCTTGTCCGCTACTGAGAACCTGGACTCTACAAGAAAAAAAGTGTGCAGCATTTCAGCACACAGCCCTTACTGATAGAGAGAGAAAGAAGAAGCGCCTCTTTTGGGAAAGTCCTTCCCACTCATGTGTGTTTCATGTCCAGGCTGTGCCTGTAGTAAGCCCAGCAGGCAGGTAGGGATGTCTGCTGGCTAAGAAGGGAACCAGTTATCCTGGTGCAAGTGGCCTATTTCATTGCTCCATGCTCCAAGGAGCTGCTTGCTGTTAATGCAGGAAAGATGGAGGCATTTCCTCACAGAAGGGGACAGAAGAGGAGATTCCCTGCAGGCTACAGTCTGCGCTTTCATCCAGATAACAATCATTTGAATCAAACCAATTAATCAATGTGGTATTGTCTGACCTCTAACATCATAGAATCATAGAATAATTTGGGTTGGAAGGGACCTTAAAGATCACCTAGTTTCAACCCACCTGCCATGGGTAGGGACACTTTTCACTCTACCCCATTGCTTTGCCTTCTCCTTTATTTCCTTAATTTATTTGGGATTTTTAGCATTAGTCCTTAAAGCAGTTGCATTGAACTTAGCAAGCTGTGGTTTGTCTGTTGTTTAAATGGAGTGTGGCAGAGAGGCACTTGTATCTACTGAAGTCCTCTGAAATGGAGAACAGAAAAAGCCTGGCCAAAAGAGGAAAAAGTGTTGCAAAAGCCTCATAACAGCCCAAACTGAACTTTACTGGCAAAAGCAAAACTTGTTTCTCCTCATGCTCTGCATCCCAGAGTGGTCCATGGTCAGGGAATGTCCTGCAGGAAGGTTCCTGTGAACACTTGCTTAATAGAGAAAAGGGCACCATGGCCAAATGACTGCAGCACCTCCACAGACTGATTCCAAAATCAGAGCTTGCCCAGCTGTGCTTGGGTGCACCAAGACTCCTGCATGTGCCAAATGGCACCTGCACATGTTCACCATGCATCAGCAGGCTCCAAAAATGCACAGGGTCCCACCTGGTGCCATAAACCCAACAAGGACAGGAACAAGCCAAGAGGAGGAGGTATTTGGTGGCTTGTGGAAATTCAATATTTTCACACAAAAACGCAAATGGTGAAGCCAGTTGAAATAGGAGAAGCCTGGAGGCATTATATTCTGGGATGAGGGATAGTCTTAAAATCTCCTTTCTCTTCCAGAAGTTTGATTTTCTGTGACATGGGCATATACACATGCACATAGGACGAACAGAGGTCCTTACGGGTAAAAGGAGAATCATGAATAGAACTGGTAAAAAATCTAAGTATGTCTCATACATGGGACTTATTTTCAATCCTTTTCATTCCTTTTCCTTAATTTTTTTTTTTTTTTTTTTTAATTAACCAGCTGGAGTCATGCATCATTGGTATTTGTGCATACAAGCTCGGAATTTATCCTAAATCTATTTTGTATGCATGAATAAATGTTTTATATACCCCAACATTAAGAGCAAGAGGCCTTTAACAACCTTTAAGAAAGATAAGTAAAATTAAAACTTAACAGAAGACAAAGTATATGCAATTTTTAGGTCATTTCCTTTAGCAATTTTATGTCAGAGGCAAAGAAAGTGCCGTAGTATCCTGCTAAAATGCAAAGCTGCCATGTGAAATGCCACATTATCTGTACACCTCATGCCTCCAAAACCTTGCAATTTTTACAACATGCTGAGTACAATTTAATTAAGAATCCTCATGCAGGGACTGTTGTCAAAGAATGTGCTTCTCTCTGCACGCAGCTGTTAACAGTAAAACAAGAAAAAAAATATAATCCAACAGAAAGTGGAAAATCTGCAGCCCGATTCCTGCAAAGCCTCTGAGACGCCAATTAAAAAAGATTAAATAAAACAGAATGCAATTTTGAGTTATTATTTCAGAAAGCACATCCGTGAATTACAAAAGCGCCGTTTCCCACTGGAAAGTTGCGGAAGCCGCGTGCCTAATGCAGGCACATTAACGCGCTGCTGCCTTCACCAGGGACTGCCGAGCATGAAATAAATAATATTGTTCTGGAATAAAAAAACTACATTAAGCAAAACCACCAAAATAATTTAAGAGCAGAGTGAACTAACCTGGAGGGCGGCGTGTTGAGAAAGAGAAAAGCCGCGTTGCCCCGTAGCACAGGTACAGGGCTGGCCCTGCCTCCCCATCCCCACTTCTGGTCATTTTTAACTTTGGTGGTTGTGTTTGAGTTTCTCAAGCTTGTTAACCACAAGGGTTTGAAAAGTCAGCTTCTCACCTGTCCAGAATAGGGCTTATTTACACTCAGGAATTATTCAGCCGTGTTGCTCAGAGTTGGGAGCCAGAAAGGCAGACAGGCAGACAAAAAGAAGAAAGGACAGAGGAACATTTTCTGGACAAGTAAACTCAATCTTCCAACACTGGGGTCTCAAGTAAGGAAGGAAAATCGAAGTGAAAGCTTTCCAGTGCTGTTGGAGAAGAGAATCCTCTTCTGCAAAACTTTAATTGGTGATTTTTATTGACTTGCCACTGGTATTTAAGCACTACTTTCATCTAATCCTAGGACATCTCTGAAAAAATTGACTGTAAATGTGTGATTTATTAATTGTGTCTTGGCATTAATACTAATTATTATAAAAATACAAGCAACAGTTTGTAAAACTGGTAAATACTACCTCATCTAAACCCATTGCAGTGACAAATCTGTTCTTCCTTCAGCACCAGTTTAAGAAAGGGCACATTAAGAATGGCAAAATTGTTATGACACTGAATTCAGAGGTGAATCTTCATACCTGATGGACACTGCAGCATTTCAGCAGTTTAAATGTCTTTCAGGTCTTGCTGACTGTACATTTAGGTTTTGACATATTCAGAATTATCCAACAGACCCAGAATGGTACATTGCAAAATGCAGGAGAACATCTGTGCAGTGAATGTGCTTTGCTCTGTGGTGGCAAACTTCTGGTGCTGTATAAATGGTTGATAATTATTTCATAGGCTACAGAAGTAAAACGTACAATAATCATACTTCACAGCATACACAATTAAAAAAATCTAAACACAGGTTAGTGTGAGGATATAGTTTTCAGTGTCTGAATTTATGGAAGCACCTCTTTATACATTACCTTTTACATTACTTAAACCTCTTTTTATACATTGCCTGCCTATATGGTGCTTTGGATGTCTCTGAGAAATTCTTATTTAATGCATAAGAGAGGAATCCTAAGTTATAAGAGAGAATACCTCACATCTAAAGCTTTAGAACCATTAATTTAAGAATTGGATCTCAGAGAAAATAGCTCCTAAAAAAAACATTTACAGATCCCTTCACATCTAAAGATGGCTTATAACCAATATGAATATTGGTTATAATATCTGAATATCTGAATCTGAACCAATTCAGAACCAACACTGAACTTCAACCTGATAGAGAAAAAAATTCATTTGTAGTCTTGGTATAAAGATAGAGCAATTGCAGACATCCCAGGAGACTTCAGACCAGATATTCCGCAGTTATGAAGTGATGTAGTTTTATATGTGCAGTATGTTGTCCACCATGGAAATTTTCTAACAGAAAGAATGACAGGACTCAACTCACTGTGATATGAATAATTCAGTACATGAATCTGAAGAAGCATCTGCTCTGGAGGAAAGGCAAATCAGGCTTATGTTACTTCTTGCTTTTCTCACGAGTAAGACTATTAGGTATGTAAATGTGTGAATTCAAGATCTTGTAACTGTTTGAATACTCACTTCTGTGCCAGAACAATAAGGAACCAGATTTTTGGCCTAAATCTATGCTGATCTGTTTTGATATTGTTCTATCTGGATAGAGTACAGATAAGTACATACCTCACACATTTTGTTTAAAATAGGAGGAGGTGGGCCAAATTCTGGCTCCCTCCAAATGATCTGGCTGGTGCTGAGGCATATAAATGTGGTACATTGACTTTTTTATTCTGTATCTTGATGATTTTCTTACTCATCCCATCCAATTATCCAGTCATAGGCAGTGACATGTTCAGAATATGTGAACCCAGCCAAAGAACTGCGCAGAAAATTTATGTTTTGCCATTTTTGCTTCTTACACAGAACACAAGTGGGACACCTCTTTGACAGTGCTGCAGTGTGCAGGATCCAATGAGACACGACAACTTGGTGCTTAGATGGTAATTGAAAATGGATGAAAACATGAGGATAGAGGACCCTGATCATGAGTCTGACTCCAGGGGAGGTAGGCGGTGATAACATCATCTGACGATTCACTTCATGGGTTTTTAATAGAGCAGCCTATTACACAGCTACCTCTTATAAAGTACTTACCTCTCTCTATTACAGTGATGTCTCTGTGCTTCTAGAGTGTTAAAAATATATTCACCCTCATAAACTGGTAAAGAATGTCCCTTGGATAAAGCTTGCTACAAGTCAGATGCCACACAATGTAACTTTTGGTAACTTCACAAAATATAGCCATTAAATGCCAACCGCTCTAGAAACCAACAGATGCCACTGGTCTTGCTCATCAGTAACAAAGGAGGACATTGTTCCATTGCATGGCATGTACATCAGTCATCACAGCAGCTTCCAAATTACAGAAATGCTTCAGAAGAGAGAGCTGACATCTATCTCAACATTCCCTCATCCACGAGTCTCACACTGCATCCATCACACTAATAAAGCAGTCCACAAGCCAGAAAAAATAACCCTATAGAACACCAAATAATACAATCGATCTGTGTAGCTGAGATCTGGCAAAACCCCAAAAGTCTTGTTCTCCTCACAAATCCAAGAGAGCAGCCACAGGTTCAAAACAATTTCCAATATTGAGACACAGAGGCCATAAAATCTGAGACTCCTTCAAAAGTGACTGAAACAAAGTTTTCACTAAGATTTATAACCTGGAAAACCATTACAAAACTCCTTTCTTTCTTGCCAATAAATTAGACATCCCCTTTCAAGTTTCAAATTGACCCACAGGGAGAATGTACATTGTCTAAATGCTGTGCCTGACACAAACCAGTGGACAGTTGTGGCAAATGCCTCTGAAAAACATCCTATGAAAGAGGAGATAGATGGGGAAGAATTCCACAGACTTCATAGAATCATAGAATGGTTTGGGTTAAAGTGACCCTAAAGATAATCCTGTCCCAACCCCCCTGCCATGGGCAAGGACACCTTCCACTAGACCAGGTTTCTCAGAGCTCCATCCAACCTGGCCTTGAACACTGCCAGGGGTGGGACATTCACAACTTCTCTGGGCAACCTATTGCAGTGCCTCATCCTCCTCATAGTAAATATTTTTTCTAATATCGAATCTTAAACCTACTGTCTGCAAGTTTGGAGCCATTCGCCCTTGTCCTTACATGCTCCTGTAAATAGTGTCTCTCCATCTCTCGTGTAGGATCCCTTCAAGTACTGGAAGGCTCTAATCAGGTCACCCCGAAGCCTTCTCTTGTCCCAGCTGCTCCAGCATTCCTTGTTAGCCAGTGCTCTCATGCACCCTGACATGGAGTCAGGATGCCAGACCTGAAACATTTTAAATGAAGGCATGGCATTTGCAACACAAGGTTTGGTACCCTGGGTTACATTTGTGCATTTACTCTGACTCTGAAGGAAAGGGTAATCTGTGATGCTGGGTTGTGATCTTCAGTCCCAATCTGCCCCCCTCTCTGTGCTGTCATCACTCCCTTTGGACATGAAGCTGAAGGGATGTATGTGCCTATTAACAGGCAGGCAGAAGCCAGGCTGCACTTTGGACATATGGGACCCATTAGCTTTTAAATCTCCCCCGGAGATTGTCCATATTTATGATGTCCACAAAAGAAAAACTGTGTGCTTGGACATATTGAGTGAAATTGAGACTATCAAATATGTTTACACAATGGTGGAAGACAAGCAATTGAGAAAAATGTTTAGATAAACCTTTATTGCTCTGACAACTATCACCAACATTTTTGTATAGAAACCTAGTTTTCATCAATATGATTAATACTCTTGCTTGTCATTTTAACCAAGGGGTTAAGCAGAGGGCATTTATTTTGTATGGCATTTAAACAAGATTCTGAGCAATGCTGGAGGATGGATGACCAGAAGGTAAAATAATGTTGCTCAGTATAACCCTCAAAGTAACTCAAACTCAAGAGTTCATAGTCTGAGGCACAGTGGCTCACTGACCTCCAATAAATATCTTGTGGGACTGCAACATGTGTCTTATGATTACAGAGCAACACTAAGAGAGATCTGTGTCCTAGTTTCAGCTGGGATGGAGATAGTTTTCTTCCTAGTAGGTGATACAGTGCTGGGTTTTGAATTTAGGATGAGAACAAACTGATAACGCACTGATGTTTTGGTTGCTGCTAAGTAGTGCTTACCTTAAATCAAGGAATTTTCAGTCTCCCATAGTCTTCCAGTGAGCAGATGTGCAAAGAGCTGGGATAAATGAGCCAAACTGACAAAAGGGACATTCTATACCAGCATATAAACTTGAGGATTTGGCCATGAGCTGCTGATGGCCAATTGTGGACAGTCTGGGCATCAGTCAGCGAGGCAGTTGTGCTGTGTCATCACTTGTCTTTCTTGGGTTTTCTTCTTTTTCTCTCCTTTTCCTTACTATTATAATAATGATTATCATATTTTCCTTTGTTAAAGCTCTTAAACTGTTCTTATCTCAACCCATGACTTTTTACCTTTTTTTCCTGATTCTCCTCCCCATCCTGTCAGGTCAGTGAGGGGGAAGTAAGTGAGTTGCTGTGTGGTACTTAGCTGCTGATTGGGGTTAAACAACAAAAATCTGCTAAACACTTTCACTAATTCTGCCTTCCTCTTGGCATGTCTGAAATGACCAAGGTGCAAACTGCTCCCAGGTAACACCTGCACGCAAATGCATTGACATTTCAGCTTTGTTTTCTCATTTAATAAATAATTGTTGCACTCAGTATATAATTGTGACACTTAGAATTCCATTAGCACCAGTCTTGTGTTTCTCTTCCATGACAAATATCATGTGGAAAATCCTACGGTATGGATAACACTTTGAAGCCTCAGTTCTAATCTACTCATTGCTTCTAAGATACTGATGAATGCTCTTCTTCACTGCAGCCTCTTGGTGGCAACAGAATAAGGCAACATTTCTGAAAGTGTACCAAAGGCTACATTTTCCTATGTTTTAATGGCAGCTAAGACTCCTCACTGGCAGGTCTGGAAGAGGAGGCAATATTTAAATTCTAGCTTCTTGTGCTATACCACAGTGACGTATTCTTTTAGTTTTGCCAAACTTCCTTCTTTCAAACATACAAGCTCTAAGGTTTGCAAGAAATGAGATCCTGGGTGTGGGGGAAGATTAGTGTATCCTCATATAATTATGAAGACTTGTTAATTGTGCTGTTGATTAACATCCTTTGGATGATCAAAGACGCTCAGGTTTTCTCTTTAGTTACTAGGCCCCCTTTCCTTCTGCTCCCACCTTCACATCACTGGCACCAGTGCCTGGCTTTGACCCTACATACACTATTCCAAAGGAGTTCTTCTGAGTGTGGTTGAGGGAATCCCAAATCCTCACCAACACATCCTGGGCAGCTGTGTCAGACAAGGACCAGTGTCCAAGTCGGAAAAAGCAATCATTTTACCTACTGAATTCAGCACAAGCTCTCAGCCCATGTAGGAGAGTAACACAAGTGTTAAATGCTAACACACAACCGTGCTGACAAAGGGTGTATTCAGGCACTGAAGTACACTCATAAATATTTTGGGACTGGATTGTTAGTCCCAGTGACCTCTGTCTGAGAGATTGAGGAGCCATCTAACATTCTGCAGCAATTACTGAACCTCGTGTACATTACACAGCAGCATCTACTTTGCCCCTTTAATGATGAAGGTAATTGCACCTAAAACTACAACAACATGCCCTGTCAAGCTACAGGAACCTGAGGCTTGCCTTACCCTTACCAAAATATTCCAGTTGCCACACCTGACCATTTCCCCCTGTCACCCCCCGCAGCAATTGCCACCACAAGCTGAACGTGCTGCATGGGCAGGGCTGGGATCTGTAAGAGCAGAGCTCACAAGAACCTTCTATTTGACGAGTGGTCTTTGTTTCAGAAATAATTTTACAGCACAGTATGAGATCAAATCTGTTGCCAGTCAATTCATTTCCTACACCGTTTTGCTTGTGGTTGTACAGGCACATTCACAACTTTTTTCCTGAACCTTTGAAGAAAAGTGCATTCGTGGAAAGTGGCAACTTGTGGACTTTAACTCCTTACAGGGTTCCCCAGCCTATTTCAGTTGTGACATTTACACTTAGTTGAAACTGTGGATTGCTATTGATCAGGAAGCATTACTAGCTTTTCCAAAGTGGAATGAACACTCTGGCAGTAAGTTTTTACCTCTGTATTCCAGGGTGTTACATATAAATTGACTGCAAACTCCAAAAGAAGCCTAACGGAAAATATAATCTGTATTTTTACTTTAAATTTCTGTTCTAGAAAGGCACTAAGATCATAATTTGGTTAGGATTTAGCAGCTAAGACATTTTTGTTGGCATGTCTCTGGTGACTTAGAATTTATTTTCATGTTATTTGATTAAACTGCATGCGAGGAATACTTAGTGCTTAGTGAAGACAACATAATATTTAAAATTTATGGTCTTTTTTCTTGCTTTTCTAGCATAATTTATGTTTTTAAAGCAGAAAAATCCTGAAATACAATTTACTTCTAATTGCACTGACTTTTACATGTGCATGAGGACACCCAGGCGAAGCTCACTAGTTTCAACTCAGTATGCTGCCAAATTGGCACAATTTCTAATTAAAATATTGCACATGGAAAACCAGGCACCCATAACACCTTCTGTAGTTTTATAATCATCAGAGAAATTACTTAAAGCTATTGATAATTAAGTTATTTGAAATTACTTTAATAGCCTTTTTCCCAACAGCTCTCCTATTTGTAGAAACATGGATTTGCCACAGCCTTTAGGGGAATTTAGGTGAATTTAAATTCCCCAAGACCAGGCTAGAATTTTCCTCCTGGGGGCTAGAATTTTCCTCCTGAGGCAAACACCTGTTTTGGTGTGTACCATTGTCCAGCTAGGAGTGAGCAGCAAAAGGAGTCCCATTTTTAAGTGAGTGGTCCACAAGGAAATCAACTGTGATACTCAAAATAGCAATTTACCTTCAAGTGGCTGAGATTTGTTTGGCCTCTTTCTCTTGGTGCATTGCATCACTACTGACTTCAGTTTATCCCTGCCAGACACTAAAGATCTGGTTTTGGTTCCCCATCTTTTAATCAGCTCCCAGATGGCTAATTTTGGAGTGTGTCATACCCACATACGATCTACAGCGTGCTGAAAGCTCCTGGTTATTCACACCACCTCTTAATAACAAAGTCAACAGCATCAAACCCTTTCAGGGTGAAGTTTTGATGTAGCAGAAACACAGTGCTACAGTACAAGAACTTGTCAGGATTCTTCATTACTCTACATCCTTTATGGACACTGCTTATTTTTGGCTGGACAGGACTCTAATGGTTGCAGCTATGGGTCACCACCCAAGACATCCTACCCAGTAATTCCTATTCCAAGGTCAGGTTGAGAAATACTCATGCCTTTCAAAAAAAAGCACCTGATCTTGATTTAAAGAGGGCAAATGGTATAAAAAACCCGACTCCCTCCCTTTGCAAGTTGTTCCAGTTCACAGTGGCCCATACAGTTTTAAAATGTACCTTGTGAGAGGAACCTCTCTCTCAGTTCTAGACACCTACACCTGAGCTAGACTCTTTTTATAGACAGTGGAAAAGAAGAGGTGTTGCCAAAGCACAGTTCATCTGACCTATTTTAGATAACTAAATAATGGCCTAGACAAGTCACTTCTTTTTCTCCCATTGGCTAAAAGAAGGTCTAGTTCAAGGTCTAGTATCTACCAGAGGTATATTTACCAAACATACATTATTACTGCATCTGAATGCTAAGATACAGAGCCTCAAGTATATTTTTGCACTGTACAAGTCTACTCCTGAAAAGGTGAGTCCCCCTCTTACCTCTGCCTGGACTCTAATTCTGACACTATTTTAACCCAAGAAAATAATTTTGTTTCAGACCCCAACTAGCTAACGTCCTCATGCTCTCCCTCCAATGAGCTAAATAAAAGGATTTCCTAAACCTCCAGTATAGTTCAGATTTTCAAGCCTTGAAGTGACTCTGGAAGTGTTTTATGAAACCCTCCCCAGTTTTTCAGCACTTTATAGGATGATGACTGATATGTGATGGCACTTTACAAGCCTGATCCCTGGGTATTTGGGTACAGAGACAGCAGCAATAGGCACCTTGCTGTGGTGCTGTGCCTGAGCTAATTAGTCAGGTGACTCAGCCACTTAGTTCAGGAAAATTGCCATGCTGGTGTGACCATGATCATTCACAAGTGACAGCGTTGTCTCTGCATTGCTTTGCTCTGCACAACTCAGACATAAGTGGATTTAGAAAAATGTCATTCTGATTTGGATATTGCCAAGAAGCAGGACAGCAAGGAATTAAGCTTAACACAGCAAATGATGAATAAAAGGGAAATTACAATAGGGAAACAAAATACTTGACCCTTAATAAAAATTATAATGGGTATTTTTCAATCAGGAGTGTTCCTTAGATATCAAGTGCAGGAGAACAACTTACTAGCTGTAGTTCAAATATTACCTGTCATCATGTTACTTGGAATACATTTTATATAGGAAAACTTTAAAATATCTGAATCTGGAAACATATCAATATGAATTGAGCAACCTGGTGCAGTGGAAGGTATTTCTCCCCATTGCAGGGGGGTTGAAATGAGATGATCTTTAAGGTCCTTTCTAACCTGAACCATTCCAAGATTCTATGGCTCTGTGATCAATAAAACAGCAGTTACATGATCTGTGTTTATGCAGCAGCTGGTATTTCAACCCCATACAATAATTACTTATTTGCCTTAAGCAAAGTGAATCTCATACACAATTAAGGTTCCCCAGAATGCCAAGGTAAAAGTGTTTGGCTTCGATGGGTGTGTTTTATGTGTATATTTATGGCCTTTAGCATCAGAGGGAGCAAATTCACACCCTGGTAAACTTGATGATTAGGGAATTTGCAGCTCTCCAAACCCGCACATGCCACTAGCAGATGAAATTACACGGAGTGTTGCAGCTGCTGCTTAATTAGCAGGATGATAAATCTCAGGGAAATGTTTGCCCTCTGTATGACAAAACAGCAGAGGCGTGAGGTGGCTGGGGGGGAAAGTCAATCCATTCGGTTAGTACTTAAATCCTCACAGTCTTCCCAAACTCCCCCTAATGCTTCAGTCCTGGTGCCTGCCCTGGAGCCTTGGAGATTGCACTGGAGAGACGATGGGGAAAATCAGAAACACTGCAGAATGCTTGAAACAGCTCATTTTGAGCAGAATTGGACTAATAGGATACTTTTTTTCCTTTAAATTGACACACCTTTCCTTTACAGACCTATTTTATTGTGCAACAAAGAGAGAGAAATGAGTGCTCCAGACCTCCT